ACACACAGACACACACAGACACAGACACACAGACACAGACACACAGACACACACAGACACAGACAAGACACAGACACAGACACAGACACACAGACACAGACACAGACACACAGACACAGACAGACACACACACACAGACACACAGACACAGACACACAGACACAGACACAGACACAGACACACAGAGCTATTATCAGGACAGAAGGCACGATTTTTCTGATAAAATTACTTATATAATACAATTAACATCAAAACAGGCATGAAGAGCTGAATGAGAGAGAAATCTGAGCACAAGTTTATTTGTAAAGCACTTTTCACAATTTTTATACTTGTATTTTTCAGTCCTGTGTTGAATGCAGTTAAATGTAAAGGATTTGCTGAGGAACGAGATTAACTAAAATACAGGTTTAAAGTTTGGTTTTGATTAATTTCAGTGACTCAGTTCAACCTGTCCGTTTACTGAACTGATTCAGAGCTCTGATTCAAAAACTCTGCGCAACTGTTTGTGTTATTAATGTTCATGTGTCATTATCTCTGTGTTTTACATGTATGTTTTAGTATAAATATGTAAGGTCAAAAATTATCAAAGACTTCTGCTTTCCTGTCCCAAACCTATCTTCAGTAACAAAAGGGCCATTTGGAATTCCTGAAGGCACAGAGGTGCTGATAGTGATCAAGGCCTGTAGGCCAACATGTGTATACACCGGGGGTCTGCTAATTGTCACACCTTTTGCCCAGTGGGTGAAGTTATAATCTGCTGATTGGTCAGTTTGAATGTCTCACATTTGGTTTTTAGTCACATGGTCAAGGAAGGGATAAAAGAAGACTGTAACTGTTGCTCTGTTTTTTTCCTTGGCTGTCTCTCTTCTTGGGTCTCTGCCCTCTCTCCCTCTTTTTCTTCCTCTCTCTATCTCTTTCTCTCAGGTAATATTTTACATGTTGGGTACAATTAACTATGCTTTACCATCCTTCATCTATTTTGTAACCAATTCAAGTGTAACCATAACAAAATATTGTTATTAAACCATTTCAATTATTAATTATGTGCTAACTAGTCTTGATTCAAGGTTAATCTTAAAGTGCTACCTATTGCAATACAATAGTCACACAATAGCAACGCTCTCCCACATATGTAGCTATTCTAACTGCGCTTATTTCCGTCGTTGGTATAAGTGTCAGTGGGTGGTAATAGACTAGAAATGTACAGTTTTATACCATCGTGCTGATAACGTTTCTTTAGTCATTCGGCAATCCTACAGCCTGAACCACCGTAGGAAAACCATCCTTACAAATATCAGTTGGTAAATATTGCTGTTTATGGCTATGTATTGTTATATAGGTGCATATAAATGAAAACAATTCAATATGATTCTTCTCCGTCTGGTGATGACCATGAGACAGAGGTGATTCAGTAAAGACTCATTTAAACTTCAGTGAATCAAACTGTTTAATACTCATATTTTTTATTTGTATTCTGTTCTGAATGTGGGTACATTTAAAGTACTTGTTGTGAAGTGTTTACAGTGTTTGTGAATGTTGCATTTATTGCATTTTGGAATAAAATATGACATACACAGATACAACGTATCTGTATTGGTTTTTTCTCTCAATAATGCAATTCTGACCTGGTGTGACTTTAGTCAATTCAGTTTAAAATTATTTTCTGAAAACTCAGCGGTTCAGAGACACGTTCTTGTGCTTCAGCGCTTGATCAAAATAATAAATGAACTCCTAACAGCATGGGTCTGACCTGCGCCGGATCCACATCGTTCAGCATCACGATAGATGTGCAGTGATAGTCCAGAACCAGACGCCAGAAGTCCTTCACTGTGTTTGGCAAAGGATGCTGGGTAACGATGAACGCAGACGGCTGCTTGTAGCTCTGACAGAGAGAGACGAAGAACACGAGACAGTCATCATCAAATTATACAAAGAGAATTTATGATAAAACATATTTAGAGTGTAGGAATCAGTCTCATGTGAGTGAGCATCGTATGTCACTTCACTAATGCTCTTGTTTAAGGGTCAACCCTTCGTGACCTTCAAGAGCTCAGGCGAGGTCACATGATCGATGCAAACGTGTTTCTGCAGAGTTTGAGCTTCACTACATCTCAATGTGAGCAACAGAACAATGTGAGAGTGCATCAGACACAAAGATGACAAAAAGATATTTAAAAAAAATATTTTGCATCATGAAAATGTTTTTGTGACATTATTTTTATAGCAATTCAATGCATTTAACTCTCTCTCTCTCTCTCTCTCTCTCTCAAAAAAAGAAATTACAAATAAATAAATACATATTTTACACATTACATTTAGCACATCATTTTACAATTTAAAATGTAACATTTAATTTTATATGCATGTGTCTGTTGTGCTGCATTTAATTATGCAATTTTAAAAAATAATAAAGAGACCACTACATCACACTAATCAGAATTGAAAGAGATTCCTGCATTTGCATAAATAAAGAAATAAATATACACGCATACATACATATATATATATATATATATATAATTTAAAATGCAAAATGTTTATACATCATGTTAGCACAATATTACAATATCAAAAGAGGATCATGCATTTGCATTAAAATAATGAGAATCTAAAGGTTAAATGTTTACTGTCACAAAAATCCCGTAATTTTCCTCATGCAAAATCTAATTTTTGCAATCCTAATAATTTTGCGGTGACAGAGGGTAATAATGGGGCGAGGTGCGGTGGTATTACAATATCAAAAGAGGATCATGCATTTGCATTAAAATAATGAGAATCTAAAGGTTAAATGTTTACTGTCACAAAAATCCTGTAATTTTCCTCATGCAAAATCTAATTTTTGCAATCCTAATAATTTTGCGGTGACAGAGGGTAATAATGGGGCGAGGTGCGGTGGCATACGTCCATGAGCGCGGCGTTGATGTAGTTGCTGCTCTCTCCGTCGATGGTGATGAGGAAGGGCAGGCAGCGGTCCGGAGGAAGCACATCCATGCAGCGGTTCTTCTCGTGGTTCCGCGGCAGCAGAGCGATGCTACAGTCCTCCACACGCAGCGTCGGAGTCACCATGTTCAGCGTCTGACAACACCACAGACTGACATTATTTACACGTTAGCACTGAGGAATATATTATCAATCTAAAAATTACAGCCGATATAATAAACATAGACAGCATTCATACTAAAACTTAAAATCGGCCTCTGAAACACTGCAAAAAATTACGTTCTGCTTCAGTATTTCTGTCTTGCTCTCCAGTACAAATATCTAAATATTCTTACTAGTGCTGTCAAACCATTAATCACATACAAAATAAAAGTTTTTGTTTACATACTATATGTGTGTGTACTGTGTATATTTATTATGTCTATATAAATACACACACATACAGTATATATATTTGGAAAATATTTACATGCCTATATTTATATTCATATAATTTATATTATATTTAATATATAAACATAACATTTTTCTGAAATATATACATGCATGTGTATATATATATATATATACATACACAGTAAACACATATATTATGTAAACAAAAACTTTTACTTTGGATGCAATATTTCTTACATCAAGATACATTTAGTTATAATATGCAAAACAAATTAAGATAAAATAATCAAAATTAAGCGAGTTTTTGCTTATTAATCTGCCAATGAGGTCAGAAAAATAACCCTTTAAATTAAGTTTTAATTTTTCTAATTTTTCACTAACATTTGTTCTCGTTTTAAGCATAAACTCACTTCATTTTAATGTATTTTTTCCAAAAACAAGACTTCATATCCAAATAATTTTGACATTTTGGTTAACAAGACATTTGGTTAACACTTTACACACCCACGCACGCACGCACGCACACACACTCACTCACACAATTCACACACTCACTCA